GCGGCAGCCACTTAAACCTTTTGATGTTGGCTAGAGACTAGTGTTGGTAAAGGACTTTTAACACGTGGCCCAGACAACGGGGAAGACTTTGGTTTGGAAATGGAGGCCATAAACCAATTATTGTTAATCTCATCAAATGTGTTGATGTTGATTATGCCTTAAAAGTTATCTTGTTATTAATGAAATGGTTTCATTTTAAAACCTGGAGTGGGGTAAAATAGATGGAATAATTTGGTAAAAACGTAGCTAATTATATTGAGAAGTGTAATATACTACCTTTGGTTAATGTTTTGAGAATTCCCAAAACACACACCCCACGTGCTGTTTTTCATCTAAGGTCACACACACACACACACCCCACGTGCTGTTTTTCATCTAAGGTCACACACACACACACCCCACGTGCTGTTTTTCATCTAAGGTCCCCAGGGAACCAGACCCAGAGGACGACCTCTGCTAGCCTCCAGCAGAAACCCAGATGGACTTTCTTTCCTGCCAATCTCGAAGTTAACCGAGCCTCTTCATCCCCACAGCGCTCACGGCGTTAAAAACGCGGTCCCGCAATAAACGAATTGCAAAAGAACGCCCTGCAGAGTTCTTCCTCATTTTCTACGTCGGACCTGCCTCGCGGCCTAGACCCTGGGTACAAGAGAGCACACGGTCCACTTAGCAGCACCCAACCGCACCGGTCGGAGCACGAGGGGGCGGGCTCTGCGAAGCGACGTCACGGCGCGCCGTGCGCCGGGTCAAAGTTTGGCCCCGCCTCGCTTCCCCCTCGCTGTCTCCCTCGGCCTGCGCCGCCGCCGACGCCACTCGTGGGCCCGGCTCCGCTTCGTTCGCTTCGCCGCCTGCCTCCCCGAGTGCTGCCCGTAGGCCGCCATGGCTAACGTGGCCGACACGAAACTGTACGACATCCTGGGCGTTCCGCCCGGCGCCAGTGAGAACGAGCTTAAGAAGGTATTGGGAAGCGGGCCGGTCGGGCACGGTGTGTGGGGCGCGGGGCCTGCGCGTCCGGGGCGGCCAGGCCGCGCTACGGGACGGCCCGTGAGCCGGCGCTGGCTGCAGCGAGCCCAGGC